TCCGTGACTAAAATGGTCCGATAGCTCCGATTCCATTTCCGGCGTGGCTTGTTTTACTCCGGCGACTTAGTCACGGACAGGTCCGTGACTAAGTCCGTGACTATGAATAAAATTTAATTTTCCAATTCCCAGAAATTATTCCGCAACGGTATTCTGTACGGATAAACTTAGTCACGGATATGTCCGTGACTAATGCCGTGACTACGTTGAATGACACGTCATTTACACGTCATTAACACATGTTGGACGCGTAATGACCACGGTTTTGCTTAGTGACGGACAAATCCGTGACTAAGTCCGTGACTAAATTTTCTATATATGCAAGACCAGCAGCTCATTCAACAGAACCACACCAATTCATTCCCAGTATATACAGCATCTGTTTGAAATATCGAAGGATGTAGTCTATCTTCTATTATTTTCCCTGTTTATGCAGATAAGGTATGTTATTTGAATTATTAATTTTATTTAGAATTAGTTGGTTCAATTTAAATTATTAAAACTATTAAATTAGTGAGGTTGTTAATTAATTAACAACATATTTAACTATAAGCGTAGTAATGTCATAAAATTAGTTAAATTTTTAGGTATATAAAATAATTTAATTAAAATTAGTTAGCTAAACGTAGTTTTAAACGTAATGATGTGTTAAGTGAAATTAGTTAGTTAAATGTACGTTAGTAATGTGTTAAGTGAATTGTGAATTGTTATTGTGTGAATTGTGTATTATTTATTAATTCAAATGACTTTATATACATCCTCAAATTATTGGATTTGGTCATATTATTTAATTTAGTGAATTGTGGAATTGTGTATTTCTAATAAGATTAAATGTCATTAACGTAATAATTTAGTGTAGGTTTAAACGTAGGTTTAAACGTAGGTTTACAAAAATAATTTAATTAAAAATAGTTAGCTAAACGTAGGTTTAAACGTAGCTAGTGATGTGTTAATTAAGTTAAATTAGTTAAATTAAAAGCGGACGTAATGAACTAGTTAAATTTAGTTAAAATTAACTAAATGAATTAGTTAAATTTAGTTAAACGTAGGTTTAAATTACTTAATTTTTTTACAATATTAGTTAAATTTAAGTATTAGGTAATTACTTATATTTTGTGCATTATTGTTGTGAATTGTGTGCATTTCATTTAATTTAGTGAAAATTAGTTAGTTGATTATTTAGTGAAATAAATTATTTAAAATTAGTTAAACGAAGGATTATTGTTACATTAATTACCTTAGTTTTGAACGTGTATGATTTTTTATTATAATATTCAGGCATAATGTATAAACAAAATAGAAGTTGGATGTATGATAAAGATGCGGTATTTTACGGAATGCAATCAAATTTTATGGATGGAGTCGGGGAATTTATTGAATTCGCACTTGAACATCCGGCTTATATGAGTGGTGATAAAATAAGATGTCCAGGGTGGTGGCAACTGAGAAGGCCAGGGTGGAGGCAACCGAGAAGAAGAAGAGACCGAAGAAGATTATCTATATGATGATTCTAGATATTATCATAATGGTGGCCGAGGGAGCTTGTAAATGATATACATTTTTTTATTGAACATTGTTTATTTATATTATAATTGTAGTGTGTCTATTATTACTTTCATTTCATTCTGTTTGGGGATGAAATGTGTGTCTGTTTACTACTTTTATTCTACAATTATTTTTTTAAAATAAACTTTTCTGCACAAAATTTGAAAAATATTTTCAATTTTTTTAAAACAATTTTTAAAAAAAAAAAATAAAAAATGTAGTCACGGATCTAAGCCGTGACTAAATTGTAGACCGGATTTTTTTAATTTTTTTTTTTAAAATTTAAAAATGTTTTTTTTTTAAAATAAAAAACGTAGTCACGGATACAATCCGTGACTAAATTTTGAATTTTGAAAATTTAAACCCTGAATTTTTGGCGGTTTATTTTTGAAATTTGAAACATTAATCACGGATTGGTCCGTGACTAATATTAGTCACGGATAGAGGCCGTGACTAAGTCACCGGTGTGGTTATTCCGGTCACAATTTAGTCACGGATAAGGTTCGTGACTAATCTGTGACTACGCTTAGTCACGGAAAAACGGCTGTGATTAGAATTAGTCACACCCAAACAGTCACGACTTTAGTCACGGAAAAAGTCCGTGACTAGCATAGTTAGTCACGGATTTTTTATACTATGGTCTGTGACTAAATCCGTGATTAACTCCGTGTTTTTTTGTAGTAAATGTAGGATAAATCCAAAAAAAATAGTTGTAATAGTGTATTATTTTTAGAATTATTGAGGGTATGATGGAAGATTTAGAAGTGGGAAGATTTTTTTGTTACGGACGAAAAAAGAAAGTGAGCAGATTTTTTTGTTACGGAGGGAGTATTCAATTACAAATAGAGGAATGATCCTGCCCAGCCGGAGGGACATGATCTTCCGTCCGGCCGCCGCCGTTTGGGCGGTTCCCGGTGGAGTTTTTTGATGAAATTTTTATGGAATGTTCCTCATCAAGTCTAGTTTATCCTCACAAGAATTCAGCTAAAAATTCGATCGGGAAGGCAGTCAGATAATTTTTTGAAGTTAACTGTGCCAAATTAAACATATAAAACGCAATTATATTTCAAAAAATTATTTGACCGTTTTCACGATCGAATTTTTAGCTTAAATTTTTTGTGGATAAATTAGACTTGATGAGGAACATTCCATAAAAATTTAATAAAAAAAATCCACCGGGAACCGCCCCAAACGGCGGTGGCCGGACTGAGGATCCCGTCCCTCCGGCTGGACAAGATCTTTTCCGTGTACAAATCAATATATATATATAAAAGAGGAACTTTTTAAGAGCATACAAAGCGCCACATAATCCTGCCATGTCATTATATATATTAATTATTTAGTTAATTTGTACCTTCTATTTTTATTAGCTAGATTCTATTTTTGATTGCATATTGATATGAAAACAAAAATCCGCAGAAAGTACTATATTAAATAGGCTCTATTTTAGGCTAAGTTTATATATGACAGGTATTCTTAGCAAAAAATACAATACGTTTTAATTCTATAACAATTAAATGTTATAGTATACGTTTAGGCTTAGAATTATGTGTTAGAATTATACGTTTTAATTCCATTATAACAATTAAATGTTATCGTATATGTTTATACGTTTAGGCTTACAATTTAAAAAAACAGACTCTATATTTAGACTATTTTACTTAATATATACTCCGTATTAAATTTCTATGAATATCCATCTTCATAAGATTATATTAAACGTTTAAAATCGGGTTCATAGCAATTATATTTACTCGAGATGCTTATGTAGAAGATCAATTTAACTATTTTTCATATAATCTTTTTCTGGCTTCACAAATGGAATATATTTTACATATTTTTTCATGATTCCACTCATTTAGCTCATTCAGTCATAATTTAATCAATTTGAGTAAAATAAGTTAATTCAATTTATTTTAGTATTATCAAACAGGCTCTATATTAGACTAAGTTTATTTTTCTTTTAAATCACATTACATATGATCCGAAAGAAATCAAATTTTAATTAGCTAAATTACATCTGCCCGTGCATCGCACGGGCTTGAAAGCTAGTATATACATAAGTTAAAAATACTTCTGCCTCGAAGGGATGAAGAGGGCCTCGACTCCTCCAATATTTTATCATTTATGTACAAATATACATAAGTTAAAAATGTACTTCTACACGTAAAAATATTAAGTTTTGACTCCGGCCAAATAATTCCCATAAGCTTTGTTCCCTTTTATATCATATTTTTGACTCTGCCACGAGTACAAAACTTCAAATAGGGGTGGGCAAAAATCCCGGTTCCGGTATTCCAAACCGAAAAATCCCGATACCGTTCCGAAATTATCCCGATCCATTTAGGACATTATTATTTCATCCCGAACCGATTCCGCATCGATATTAACCGGGACGGGACCGGGACAGCTATAAAATATCATGTCCCGTCCCGATGTCCCGTTTGAAATTAATATGTTATTTTTAAATTTCTAAGGCTATGTAATAGTCAAGTCGCATTAAAACTTTCTAGTCATCAGTCTCCCTATTATAATTTTATCTTTTTTCATGTCTCTTTTAGTCTCTTTTCTTTTGTTTCTTTTGATTAAAATTTGTTTAGTTCTCATTCCAATACTAATTCATAATACTTTATTACGTGCGGAATATAATTTATGATGGAACAACTACTACTCCAAATTATAGTGTTGTTATAGATTTATTATTTTCCAAAATAACTACTAGAAAATATATATATATATATATAGTGTCTTTATAGATAAGATATTTAATTTAATGTGGTATTGAAAAATTACAGGTGTACTACAAAGTATAAAATTATTTTGCGCTGCTATTCTACTAGAGGAAACACAAGATTAGGGGGACCAAAAAAAAATTACAAGACAAAAATTAAAAATAGTTAATTAAAGGTTTTGCTTAACTTTTTAGGGAAGCTAAATTTGCAAAAATAGTTACGTCTTTATTTTGATGTTATGCTTATTTTTATATCGCATTTCACAAATGCATATTTTTTATGGGACATCCCGAACTGTCCCGGTTTTTCTCAAGTTGTCCCGGTCCCGTTTTAAAAGGGACAACATTGGGATAAAGACTTATCTCGTACCGGAGCGTTATTATAAAACCGGGACGGGATAGGGACAAGTCAAATCCCGGACCGTCCCGGACCGTGCCCACCCCTAACTTCAGATTAACACACATATATGCACATTATGACTATTAAGCATATACTTCGTATATTTTTGGGAAAACTGTCAAATAGGTCCTCGAACTTTCATAAAAAAGTCAATTAAGTCCTTCTATAGGAGACTTTGTCTGGCCGTCGCGATTTGGGACGGTTCCCGGTGGAATTTTTTGATAAAATTTTTTGAGCATCTTATTCACCAAGTCTAGTTTACTCATACCAAATTTCAGCTAAAAATTCAATCGGGAACACATTCAAATTAATTCTTGAAGATAACTGCTCATTTTTCCGTTCTCGAATTAATTTGAATGCGCTCCCGATTAAAATATATTTTTTATTCTTTTGCCCATAAGTATAGGGAGTAGATTTTGTATTTCTTTTTGCATTTTCATTTAAAAGCACTACACAATGCAAGTGAAAAATATTACTAAGAAAACAAAAGAAAAAGAAACAAGGAGATAGAGAGAGAGAAAGAAGAGGGAAGAAGAGAATTACAAGTATCTGCAGTATTCCTAAAGTCATCAGGGCCTTCTAACCTAATATAGTCATACATGACACCTGTCCAAGGGCTGGAGACTCCTGTCTGTGTGAGAAAGATGATGTTCCTGCCTTGAACAAGCCCTGTTCCCGCTATTCTAAAACTGAAGAGCCAATACAGCCCATGAATCCCATGTCTTGCTATGGCATTGTCGCCACCAATGAGCCCAGTTGTAAAATGTGGGGGTTGCACCTCTCCATCATTGACACGCACCTTTGGAATGGTTGGCAAGAACAGTGATAATGTAAGACTCATAGAGCATGCAAATTCCAAAATGCACATGATCAAACGAAAGCTTGATTGACACAGCCAAATAAGAACTGTTTCAACAAGTGCAAAGTCATAGCAATTTTCAATTGCAGGTGTAAAAGAAGTGTCAATTACTATCTTTCAGAAACTATGCGAAACATCATATTTTTAAAAAACAAAAAAAAAAGGGAAAAGATGAGGATTGTACCTGTAGTTCTGCTTCTTCGGCGGACGCCAGTGCCAGCTGGAGCGTGTAATATGATGCTCTGTCTACACTTTCCAGGTCGAATTCAATTCTCCAAGTGGTTGCTCTATATGTTCTGTTTCCTAGGTCTCTGAAAAGGGTGAACACGTTTTAGAGGAAACCAGAGACCATTCTCATGTCCTCATCATCTCATCTTGTTATTTAGAACTCAATAAGCCCATAATTGATATTATAAGGTTGAAAAATGCTAACTCATACCTGGGAACGTGAGCAAAAAACCAGTTTGTGGCGTAATCACTGGTTCCAACAGTGTAGACAAGATCATCGAAAGGATATAGATCTGTATAGCGCTTCCACAGGCCATATTCTCTAAACCTTCAAGTAAAAATTTCATAAAAGTAAAAGACTATGGTAGCAGTGTAATGGAGACGGTTGATCATCACTAGCAAAGCGATAAAGTGACCATTATCTGTTTCCCGATGGATAGATAATGAGAATTTGATGGTATGGTATGTTCCCTAATATTACTGTCCCTATAAAAATTCAATAAAATTACTCAAGGTTGGAGCTCAGTTATTTTGCCAAGAATTTTAATCAAGTTTGAACTTACTTGTTCTGTACATCATCTTCAAAATCATTAACTTTGAAAGTTGGACTAAGATTTGGGACATAAAACTCAGCTGCTGTGCGGTCAGCAACACCTATTTCCCAAAGCGTAGCTCCGTTTCTGGGAGGTTTGTACACTAATTTGCCCAACTCCACACTGGAACCTGAATTACGTTAATAGAAAGGTAACTTAATTAATTGCTGACTAGTATGAAGGATAACAAAAACAAGAACAAAAGTAGAGGTAGAACTACAAACCTGGTATAGTGCTGATGTCAAATTCGTATTTGTAGTCCCCGATTCTTCCTGGGACTGTTGCATACAGATTATAAGTACCTTGTCTTACACTTTTAATAAAGAAGTTCCCATCGTTGTCAGCTTGGGTCCAGAATTGGTACCCCTGTACATGAAAGTAAATTTTGAAAGCAAAAATTAGAGAGTTATTAGTCTTATTACCATTCACCATTACTAAATTTACTTCCTCCAAAGTGTTCCTACTTAATTGCATGACTACGAACATGCCAACCTTGTTTTCTCTTTGCCATGATCCTGCAGCACCTAGCGCTGCCAGTCCCACATATGCAAAAGATGCTGGAACAGGCCGTTTATCAATGAACCTAAAAAGACCTCATGAGCAGTGTTTTTTAATCTTTATGTTGGTTCATTTACCAGGACAAAACTAACCAATGTAGTGAAAGAAAATTACCAGTCATGAATGAATAATCTACCTCGAACGATTCCTCTTTCATCAGACTTCTCATAGTCTACTGAAGCAATGAAATCATATGGCCAGCTTGCAACTTCTTGATCCAACTGTACATCGTTACATACAGATGCATCAATGCATATTTCCAATGCGAAAGTAGCATGAGACATGGAAAGACAGTTAAAGACATATGTGTACGGCGTACCTTTCCCTTTGCGTCTTGCCAGAGTATAGAAGGGTCACTCTCCGCAGCCGTGTCTGAGTTGAGATATAAAAATACGGGGCCTAAAACCTTTTTCCATGGGTTTCCATCTTGAAAGTTGACATCAAGATCCTCCCCAGCATAATGCCTACTAACAAATGTCTGCAGTTCAGTTAAAAACAAGAGGGCAAAAGGATTCAAACAGCAAGGTCCATGTACTCTTATCATTGTTGTGTTACAAAGAAATGAGCTAAAAAATACTAGTATGTACTTACAGAAAGCGTGGTAGGGCCGACATGGGAAGTTAGCTCTTGCTTGAAAGGTCCACCAGTGCGGAACTCATTGCTTGGAGTGATCATCCAAAATCCTACCGGGGGAGCGGTGCATACCCATCCATGAACCTTAATGTCTTTGCTGTCGCTAGAGTAAAAGTACTTATCATCTACCTGGAAGTATATGAGGAAACATGAGGGAAAAATAACCAAATATACAGCCACCAAAATAGAAAATGGAGCTTTTCAATGATTATAGGTTAATTCAAAATTAAATCATCATACACACGGATAACTAGTAAAGGGAAGGCAGCGCCCAGAGTCTAAGTTATCGTAATGTTGTGGCATAAACTACAGAGAGCTAGGCTATTCAGTGGGATAGAATGTATAGACAAACCTCTCCTCTAAGAGATGGAGAGCTTGGGTGTTTCAAGAGAACTGCCTCTGGATAATCAAGCGTCTCGCCGGTCAGCCGGTCCTCAGGGGTTGGCATGAACCTCTTCCTGTCATCCGAAACAGCCATGTAATGAAACCTGATTCGATCGTACATCCATAAAAGATCAAGCATTCGTTTTCATCATCAGCACATATGTCATTCTAGCATTACAACAAACAGGGACTGTGCAAGTATTTCGAAAGCATACATGTCCTGTCGCAGTTTGAATACAACCCTGTTTACTTCCATACGCACGCTTGGATATCCTTGTAAACGTTCGAGAATGGAGTATGTGTAGAAACCAGGAGAATCAGACAGCATCACAAATCTACAAAAGTCAATTAGTACAAGAATAGCATAAGAAAGCCAAATAAATTGCACAGAAAGAACTACTGTGCGGAGTTTTCTGCAATGGTAGAAATTTGCAGAGTCGTCGTACCTTCTGTCAATATTTACGGGAGCTCCATTAATCCCAGAGGCATCCCACGCTCTTGTAAATGAAATCTCTACTGCATTTTCACTATTTGAGATTATTTTGAAACTGGTGCCTAGCAACCTGCAATGGTTGAATTGGGTGACATTCAAATACTCATGACAATGTCAAAACATAAAAGTGAACAACAGCGTTCATCAGGGTAAAGGATGCATCTGTACTTGTCCTGTTCTCCCTCGTTTCCTGCGCCATGCCAAATGGCATCCCAGTACCTGCAGTTACTTCAGAGTTTAGTACTCTCGTTCCCAGTCTGGATTTGATAGTTTTTATAAGTATTGTACGACTTTATTGAATTTTTATATACTCCGTATTAGTCCAGGTTTATTCTATTTTTTCACATATAGTTCCAATTCATTTAGTTTTTGTTGATTTAGTTTGATTTGATAACGTTCAATTAAATTGAACTAATTTGCTCACCCCTCTTTTTACAATTGACTCTTAAAAAAACAGGGTTACATAAAAATAAAACACACTACTTTTCTCACCAATATGCTCACCCCTCTTTTTATTTAAGTGAACTAATATGCTCACTCCTCTTTTTAATTAAACTGAACTATTATGCTCACCCCTCCTTTTAATTTGATTCCAATGAGATTTGTCCAATGATAAAGAAAATACTTTTCTCACTATTAAATGAGAAATAAGAGAATTAATAGATTAATGGCATGAGGATTAAGATATTTAATAGATAAATGGCACCAGAATTAAGATATTAATAGATATTGTGTGGTGGGAAGTTGTCCATAGGAGAAAGAAATGTGTAGAAATGTGTAAAAAGTGTTGTGAAACACAAATTATTTGTCAAACATGAAAAATGTGATAATTTTGGGATGAACAAAAAATAAAGTTTAAAAATAAATATGGGACAACGGATGTAAATTAACACGGTAGAATAATGTAGGATTTAAAATTGAAACTGTAGAAGGGAACAAATATTAAAAAAGTAAGGAAAAATTTACTCAAGAGAAATGGAACAAATATTAATAAACTTTCTTCAAAAGCAACTTAAAAGTAATGTAAGAAGGGATTGAGTATTACTTTGCAATGAGTAGGAGTGTAGGACTCGATTGCCTCCATTCTAAATTAAACCTTATTATCATCATTATATTGCGTTATCCGAAGATATCATTTGTAGGGAGTGCAATATACTTCCTCCACCGTCTCAATATAATCTTTCATATTGATTTTGTAAATGATTTACAAAAGTTACAACGGTATGTTTGAGAATTGTGTAAAAAAGAAAGGAGAAATAAATGTTGTGAATATGACTAATGAATAATATGGGATAGAAGCACTTTGGTGTAAATTCATTTCTATACATAGTGAACGAAAACAGCTAGAATTACATACATACCCTCTGTCGTTTTCTGCGTTCTTCGTTTCCAGCAAATTGGGAACGCCTTGGTACGAAATTCCCGTCACAAGACCATCTGGAATTGACAGCGTCACACTCAGAATGTCGTTGCTCATCACTGCCTGAAAATGGTAATTCGAAATGAGACGCCAACCATTGGATGATCTAGCTATCGTGGACGGTCCCGATGGCTCAAAACATTTGATCTGATCTGGACCCCGTACGTCCTCTCCCCCCAGTAATAATAAATCAAAAGAGAATTTATCTGACTACGTACATGTTTTTCCTGTATGTCCAAATGTACCCCTGCTTCCGTCAACCGTCTCCTGTGGTGTCAGATCAAAAGGGCATACCGGTCACGGTTTATTGGTACATTCACAGAAAAATTAGAAGAAAAAAAGGGTAAATAAAATAGACACAACCAACCAGTAAGAAACATACCTCTGCTCAGCGTCAGCCGCCGCCACATCCGGCGGCGGCGGCAAGAAGAATAGCAGCACAACTAACATGTCGAGAAGAAACCTCCACTGCACTACACACCCCATAGCTTCTGCTCACTTGGAATTCTATTTCCAAATAGAAGGATCGGAGTTATAATAATAATACGGAGTAATATATACGGATTATTTAATTTGCCATACTTTCTGGCGCGTGGGGAAGGGAATGATAAGTCAATGATTTTGTGAGTCAGACAAAATGAAGTGAGTAGTGATGGCGTTGTCATTGGGATCGGCAGAACTGTCGGTGGGGCGTCATGATTTTCTCATTCACTTAATCTATCCTTAAACGACTCTGTTTTCAAAATTGTCGCTGCCTACAATTTACCTAACACAACTTGAAAACTTAGCCTTTTTTGGGTTTCATGTGTCAAAAGACATACGAGACTGTGAATCGTGTGTTTAAAAAATGTGTTATATGCTCTTCTATTGTAATTAATCATGCATATAATACTTTATATGTACTATCTACCAATTTAGAAATTTGAAAACCAAATACTGGAGTATACGGAGTATGATTTAGGAGATGTTTGCATCAACTTTTCCCAACTGTTTTTTGCTTTTTTTCAGAGTTCAGAAGTAGACATTGAAGTATTTGGGTGAAAGTGCAGAGATACTCGTGAGTGTTCCAAAGTGTTCTTACAAGTAACTTTTTATAAACCGGCAAATACTAATTTCTGAAAAACTGATTGTGATTTGTTTCTACTTTTATAAAATAAGCAGAAGCAAGATCAATTACAGACTCACCTTTAATGTTATGTTTTGACATGAAGGTAAATTTGTGAAGATGTCCAACTTATACATAAATATCAACCAATTTTAATTTATTTGACAATAATTGAATTAGTATTTCTTTCTAGGGATAATTTGCATCATTAATTAACACTAAACAGAATAACGAAAAATTAATAAAAGTGAAAAATGAATAGACAAAAGTGTATCTGTTCATATTTCACGTGAAACATATTCTCACCATCCCTAAATTATCTTGGTTTTGCACATGGATTTAGAAAATCGAAATTGTGTGGTGACAAATTGTACAGAGAAGAAAGCACTGTGTAAAAATGTGTGGACTATAAATTCTTTGCCCTGCCAAGAAAATGAAAGATAAAAATATTTTAGTATGAACGAAAAAAGAAAGTTGGAAGAAGACTCATATGTGCATATACATAAATATATACGAAAAAAGAAAGTTGGAAAAATACATATTCCGGACCAGTAAACTTGCAAAAATCATTTGACGACCTTCCCGATAGAATTTTGAGCTGAAATTTGGTATGGACAAACTAGACTTGATGAGAAACATGCTCAAAAAATTTCATCCAAAAATTCCACCGGGAACCGCCCCAAACGGCGGAGTTCGGACGGCGGCTACCGTCCCTCCGGAGGGACCTGATCTTTTCTGTATATATATATATATATATATATATATATATATATATATATATATATATATATATATATATATATATATATACGGAAAAGATCCTGTCCAGCCGGAGGGACAGGATCTTCCGTCCGGCCGCCGCCTTTTGGGGCGGTTCCCGGTGGAGTTTTTTGATGCAATTTTTATGGAATGTTCCTCATCAAGTCTAGTTTATCCACAAAAAAATTCAGCTAAAAATACGATCGGGAAGGCAGTCAAATAATTTTTTGAAACATAACTGCGTTTTATATGTTTAAGTTGGAGCAGTTATCTTCAAAAAATTATTTGACTACCTTCCCGATCGAATTTTTAGCTGAAATTTTTTGTGGATAAACTAGACTTGATGAGGAACATTCCATAAAAATCTCATAAAAAAACTCCACCGGGAACCGCCCCAAAAGGTGGCGGCCGGACGGAAGATCCTGTCCCTCCGGCTGGACAGGATCATTCCTCTATATATATATATATATATATTGTATATGTATGTAACGTACCCGGTTGGAATGGAAGGTATGTAAAGACCAAAGAGCCAAAGGGGTGCTTGGATGGTGGAAAAATATTCGATGATGCAAGAGGAAGTGGCCGGCCTCGATCAAGCTAGCTACAAAGCTAAGGGATAATATTATATTCCTTTCGGGGCCTTTAAGCTTCCCCGTTGTTACGGCTACGGAAAGTAGATTTGGACATAGGAAACAACACGTTAGGGAGCCTTAGGCCAGCTTTTTAACTTCGTTGCCCTGCCCGGGAGATTGAGGATCCAAAGCTAGCTAGCTAGTGGGAAAAGCTAAGCTAAGGAATAATGTTTTTTATTTTATTAATCAATCCATTTCTCCCATTTATTCCATCATTCTTATACTCGAAAAACAAACTACTACTCCGCATCTCTGATTTGTCAATAATGAAATACTAAAATATTATTCATTGGTGGTAATATGTGAAAACTTTATAACTAAGCTTTTTAATTTTGAAAGAAAAAGTACTATGACGCACGTTATATTATTCTTTCTTACAAAAAAGGCAATTAATCACTTTAACATGGATGGTGTATAATTTATCATCATCATTTTCGGTACCATCATCTACAATACACAAATACGAGTACAATAACTAGTACACCTTTATTCCTTTTCCTCGTCAATCCACCAACCATGTTTTTAGCTAGAGCCCAAAATTCTGCGACCAATTAAGGGTTTAGACTCTGTATAGATCGAGCCATCCAGTGATTGGATCAAATTCTAACATTCGATATGTAATGAAAACGGAGTGTATGACAAAAATACACCTACAGTACCAAATTCAATGAGTTGTCACGACTTGAATCGATTTTCCTTGCAGAACCTTGAGAACCTCTTGCAGCTGCAGCCAGAATGGTGATCTTTAATTTCCTAGTGCAATTGTTTGTGCCCTTTTTCTTCTCCCGTCTTTCTAGGGTTCGACTGATTTTATTGGCACGATTTTTGTTGGTTTTGAGATCGAACTAATTATTGAATACATCAATGCACACATTGCAATTGGCTAGAACGCTAATTTATATGGAATTATATAGTAGATAATATGAGGAAAATCATTTAAATTTCTCAGTCCTAAATATTGAAGAAGGTGAGGCACCTTAATTAAACTTGCATAACTAATATAAGGGTATGTTTGGCACAACTAGCTGAAAAGATACTTTTGTGAACTTTTTAGTAACTGTTAGCTTTTAGTGACTGAAAAGATCTTAAAAAGAAAAGGTGATAGCTGTTTGGTAAAAAGCTGACTGTTTAATTTAGTTCGGTTTGGTGTACAAGCTGTTAGGACTAATTAATATTAAAAGTCACGAGCTTTTCTCAGATGCTACACCCGGTAGCATCTCAAAAAAGATCTTTTAATTTTTAAAAAGCTCTTATAAAATGTCATGCCAAACATACAACTAGAGTCCTTTAAGGTCTTTTTAAAGAAAAGAGAAGTTAGAAGGCAGAGGCTTTTGTGTGCCAAACATGGCCTAAATACTCTGAATTTTATATAAAAATTTAACTTAGCATCATGATCATATGTTTTTTCTTTTACATATGTAAATTTATAGTGGTAAGTAAATAATTTCAATATTTTAAGCATTTTTGAATGTGCAATTAACATTATAAACTTATTCATTTATGTTATTTAATTTAAAGGGATATATTGACTTTACACACCAATTTTGGGTAATATTAAACTTAATTTATACCTCATTTTTTAAAAAAAAAACTTTGAGTTTTCGCCCCAGCACCCCACTTTATGGAAAGAAAAATATCGAAATAGGGTGGACAATCAAAGACTTTTTAAGTGAAATGGGCTGCAAACTCAAACGTTTTTGAAAATGAGGTGCAAAGTCCAATATTACCTAAAAAGTGAGGTGCAAAGTCAAAATATCCCTTATTTAAAATATTGAAGCTTAAATAATAACTTCATCCTAATAAATGCCCAACGTCTTTTACATTTTATATTTGAACACTAAAAATTTACATTTGTAAAAGAAAAAAACATATTATGATGGTACTAAGATAAATTTTATATAAAATTTGGGGTATTTTTATCATATGCGCAAATTTAGGGTGCTAACCTCACACCTCATAAAAGTTTGAGGTATTTATATTATTTTCCCCAAATAATATCAACAATATTTAAGTAAAATAATTAATTACAATGATAGTAAAGTGGATAACATTTAGGATGTTTTTAATTGAATTGTAATTTTTTTGTCTGGTTTGATTTATTCTGAACTAATTTGATCTGGCCTTGTACATGTGTATTCTATATGTATTTTACAACTCTTTAAATCTAGTCTTGTCTGAAAATATAGTCTTGTCTGATCTAGTATACTTAAGTCTAATATGTCGGGTCAGGTCAGGGTCTAATTTGAACCGATAGATGTCTATCTTTATATATATAAATAGAATAGAATAAGGTGGATGTTGGTAGAAAATAGCTTGAGTAGAGAAACTGGCAGCAATTCAGTATTGTGAAAATAGTATAGTGAATATAAAGAGTTGATGGCCTATCTATAAGCATTTACAAGATTCTCACCCATTAAAGGCTACATGGACTTGACCCTAATTGAACAACTAATACTAAAAGAAACTTGTGTGTTGATTTTCTCAAAAGTCACGTTTTCGCAAAACACTTGTTGATTTTTTCGCAAAAGAAACTCGTGTGTTCGTAAACTCGAGGTTTACAAATAATAACATATTCGCAAACCCAAGTTTTGCAAATGATAGCCTGTTCGCGAATCCAAATTTAGCGAATTTCCCAAACCTCAACCATGTTTTACAAACTAGTTGTCTGTAACACTAGTATCGCTTTTTCTGTTCATAATAAAGTCTTCACTCAACCCAACAAATGGTAGCTCTCTTTGAAACTCATCTGACCCAACTAGAATCACTCAATTCAGGGTAGCAAATTGAAAGTTATACAAGTAGTAAGGCACAACATTTTCGCAAAACAGGTTATTGTAAGATTAACATCTTTCTTACCACTCATAATTTGTGTAAAAAACATTCCCACAACCAAATGAATAATTAATGAGAATAGAGATAAAAAGAAGCTCTCATTCAATACCACAATAATAATATTGAACTTCAGTACAAGGTATGAAAGGGGGCGCAACTCTCGCTTCTCTCTAGAGTAAAATGTATGATTGCCTAATCTGATTACTACTTACCTTAGGGTTTCGGGCCTATCCTCCATACTTTACAGGTTTGAAGGTTAGGCCCATTACACAATGGGCATCTAAGTGAGACATATATTCTGATCCCTAACATAAAGTGGTCCATTGTCTATTAATTCAACTAATTACAACACAAATACAAATAAATAAAACATGATTAGACACCATAAAATATTCTCTAACAATTTGGATATGAGTCCTTTGTAAAAGTTGTAGATAATGTTTAGATGAATACAACCCAGCTGGAATCACACGATTTGAATCCCCCAATCAAAGCTAAGGTTATGACTGTATTTGTAAAGCTTGTTGTTTTCGCAAAAGTCAATATTTTCGTAAAAATGGGCTATTCCGGGGCTGTGAAAGTCTAATTTAAAACTCATAGAGACCGGTGAGTAACTCGGGACTATGAGGGCTCGTTTGTTACGGTGTAGAGTAAACACTTTGCGTGCAAAGTGGAGAGAAGTAAACATTTTACACCGTTTGTTTTAATTATTTGATGCAAACTGTAGGTCACATTTTACACTGTACCATGTAAAATAGTTTACGTGGGGGAGGGTGGTAAACTAGTTTACATTCATTAATTAATACCGAGTATTATCATATTTAACGATTTAATACGGAGTAAACTTCTACGACGACTTAGACCTACACTAGAAAATAGGAGAGTGGCGGCAAAAACAAAAAACTTTGGCGGCAATAAATCAATTTCATCTCCTATAAAAACACACAAAATCGTAAACCATATCTCAGCATATCTCGTTGATTGCGTTGCCCTGCTCTCCGTATTGCAAGAGGTAGGCTTCTGCTTCTTTTTTTAGTTAATTGGCATGTTTATTTGATACTACCTCCGTCCCAGGGAGAAGTTCCCAATTTCCTTTTTTGGCAGTCCCAACAAGAAGTTCCCATTTCCCTAAATGGAAAGTTATTCTACATCAAAACAGTGCCAAACAGTGCAAAACAGTGCAAAGCAGTGTCGAAACAGTGCCAAACAGTGTCGAAACAGTGCCAAACAGTAAAATTTACCCCCCAGTAACTTTATTTCCTTAATATGTGTGAAAGTCAACCCGGGAACTTCTCCTTGGGACGGAGGGAGTATGTTTTTGTGTGCCTAGAAATTGAATTTGTGGAATTTATTTTTGAAAGAGATTATCAAATTATGTTTCGACTTTATTTGAGAAAGTGGATTGAAGAGTAAGAGCTTCTGCACTAGTACAAAAAAGGCTTTTCACATCAGTCAAAAAAGGCTTTTCACATCGGTCAAA